AGCAGGAATTAATGGAAATGAAGTCACCGTAAACAAAGAGAAGAATATTTGCTGATGCGATTGGAGATTGAGGACAAATGTTAGAAAGCTCCTGTAGGACTGGAGATGAGGACCATCTCTGTCTGCCTGGTGCCTCCATTCTCCTACTCTGCAAAAACTTGCTACACTCACTCTTCCTCATTACTTCTTTACTCTTACTGGTCACAATCTACTACCCTACCTTTTACTCACCCACTGTTGTCCATAGCTGTCCTCCAGGTCATTGAGGTATCGATTCTCCCAGCTGATGTGGATGCCCAGCAGATCAGTAGGTTTAAAACCATTCTCAGCCAAGATCACAAAGTAGGTGAAGAATCCTGCCAGAGCCTGGATCACCCCTGTGAGTGATAGAGTCACAGGTCAGGGGAACCTGATTCAGAGAAGGATCTCAGAAGGCAGATCATGGAAGGGGTGCTGCCTGGGGCTTGCTTCTAGCAGGGTTGATGTGTGTCTGAGCTGTATTGCTGAAGATTCATGCCATTAATGATCTGATCCCACCATCTCTGTAGGACTTGTCTCCAAACTCTGACATTTCTTTCTAAGCTGTAATCTAGAGTCATCTTTTTATCATATAAGCTTAAAACTGGAAAGGACCTTAGAGGACCAGTGCCCAGGTCAATGCAGAGGATGGTTATGGTGCCCAGAGGCAGGGGGATACCGAGGATGATGAACAGCAGGAAGGGGGTGATCTCAGGGATGTTGCTGGTCAGGGTGTAGGCGATGGATTTCTTCAGGTTGTCAAAGATCAGGCTGCCTGGGAAGGATGATCAGCCTTCTGTGAGAAGCACAGAGAGTTCACACCTCCCACAAACCAGCTCCTAGACAGAGAGACCACTACAAAGCAGGGTCACTGTCCATGAAAGGGACCGAAGGTCTTAGGCCTTGGCAGCCCCAGTTTTGTTTCTAAATTGTGTGACTAGTAATTAGAGCCGTGATTTATTAACATGCCATATCTGTATACTCTTTGTTCTTGGGTTCAACATGGCTACTATCATCTGATCTCTGAAAATTAAGCAGGGTGGGGCCTGTTAATACTTAGAGATGTGTGAGAATGCCAATATAAAAGCCATTAGAAGATTAAGGCTGATTCAGAGTAACATGGATGGACCTAGAGGTTATCATACTAAGTGAAGTAAGTCAGACAGAGAAAGACAAATATCATATGATATTGCTTATATGTGGAATCTAAAATATGACACAAATAAACTTATTTACAAAACAGAAACAGACTCACAGACATAGAAAACAAATTTAGGGTTACCAAAGGGGAAAAGGTGGCAGGGAAGAGATAAATTAGGAGTTTGGGATTAACAGATACAAACTACTGTACGTAAAATAGATAAACAACAAGGTCCTACTGCATAGCAGAGAAAACTATATTCAATATCTTGTAATATACTATAATGTGAAAAGAATATAAAAAAGAATATATGTGTATATATATGTGCATACGTATGTATGTATCTATCTGTATCTGAATCACTTTGTTATACACCAGAAACCAACACAACATTGTAAATCAACTATACTTCAATTTAAATAAAAGTCTGAAGTGGAAAGAGCCTGGGCTTGGGTTCCAATTCCATTTTCTGCCATAACTAGCTTGTGATCTTGGGCACCCCTCACCTGCATTCCTCCGGCCTTGCAAGATGGCTTGAGTCCTCCCCTGACACCCTTTTCTAATATTGTCATCCTTCCCTCCACTCCCTGCTTTACTTATTTTTTTCCATTGCACTTGTCTTCTTTTATTATACTGTTCAGTTTACTTTATTGTCTGTCTGTCTCCACTGGAAATTAAGTTACACAAGGGCAGGGATGTGTGTTTTTATTCCCAATTATAGTATTCCCAGCATCAAGAATAGTGCCTGGTACGTAGTTGATACTCAGAAAGTTTATTGAATTGAGTGGATATAAAATACTGAGGATCATACAAGGTCTAAATAAAATGTTAACTATTACTCTTATGTGGATTGCCATAGATTTTAATAACATAGCTCCAGGCAGAAATCAGAAATCAGGGAGCCTGGGAAGCAGAATTCTGGGGCTCTCCTGTACGCCAGTGGGTATTGTCTCTGGGAAAGAGGGGGCTTAATTTAGCTCATGCAGTCAATTCATAGATCAGGCTCCAACTGATCTTGATATGTCAACATCATTCAGACAACAGGTTGCTAGAAAGTCCTCCTGAGGTTGTGGAGTACAGAGTAGTCTCACGGTATAGCTACACCCTGAAACTTACTGTAGACCCACTTGAATCCCCATGAGAGAAGAAAAACAATGCTGTGCTGCACTAGAGCCCCACTCTCCCTAGAAAATCTGGACTTTCCTCCAATCTCATAAGGGCTCCAGATAGTGATGTGCTAAGTACCAGCTGAATCTAATTTGCAAAATTTTGACTTACAGTGATTTCTCCCAGTCTGTACAGGAGGTTGGAGGATGGGCAAAGGGAATGAGAATAATGTATACCAACTCTCACCTGAGTCCGAGCAGGTGAAAGTTGGTACCTACCAACCTGGGCACCTGCTTCCTCACCCTACCCTGGGCATCCTGTTTCCTCACCCTCCTCCATTCCTGTGACGATGGAGGCAAAGTTGTCGTCCAGCAGGATCATGTCGGCTGGCTGCTTAGACACATCAGAGCCAGCGATGCCCATGGCAATGCCGATGTCCGCCTTCCTCAGCGCGGGGGAGTCGTTCACCTCGTCCCCTGTCACCGCCACAGTGGCTCCCCGGGTGAAGCACAGAGGGAGTGAAATAATTATTGTGTCAGATTCAGGACGCATCCCAAAGGTCAGTTTGATTCCATCATCCCTTGTTTCTCGATGTAATCATGCTTGGTTTAGGCCTCTTGGCCCGTCCCTCTCCTGCACCTCCTGAGACGGCAAAACTCACAGGGAGCCCCCAAATGGATGCCTGTCTCAGGGGTTCACGATGCGATGCTCTCTGGAGCCTCCTCTAGCCCAGCCCACACATTCCTATGCTTGGTTTGGGGCTGGGCTGTGCCACGTGATTCCCTCCAGATTCTCCAAGCCTCCTTGGTCTCCCTTACCAGCCTCTGACATCCCTCTACAATGATGAGCTTCTGCTGGGGGGAGGTCCAAGCAAACACGATCTCAGTGTGGTTTTGGAGGATCTCATCAAGTTGCTCTGAGTTCATATTTTTTAGTTCTGAGCCGTGCACCACAATGGCTTTGACATCCCTGAGGGAGAGGAATTTCAAAAGGCTAGTTCAGAGTGTTGAGAATTCACCGGGTGTCCTGGTGCCCTCTAAGCCATCTTTGCTATAATCTCCTTGTTTCTCCTTTCAACCCCATCTCCTCACTTGTCCCCAGCCATTCACTGTCCCCAGATTGGCACATTGCATTCCTTCCCTCCTCTCCCACCTCCTCCTCCCTCTTTTCTACCTCCTTCTTTGTCCCACCTTCATCAGAAAACCCACTGGCATAGTTGCTTGGTCATTTTCCTATTACGTTTTACTTTGCAGTAAGTAAACTCTGCACATCCTACCTATAGAAAGAACCTCCGAAAATGTTAGTGGGTGGGGCAGGCTAAGGATGGAGGGAAAAAATGGCAGATCTGAGTTCTTTCAGGGATCTCACCTGGCATTGACCTGGCTGACAGGGATCTTGAGCCGGGCAGCAATGTCCTCTGCTGTCTCGGTGCCTTCTGAGATGCCCACACCCTTGGCAATGGCCTTGGCTGTAATGGGATGATCCCCTGTTACCATAATCACCTGGGTTGGAAGGGGAGGGAAAAGGAGCAGAATCATGTTCAGGGAGGTCCCGGATCCTTCGCCTCTCTCTCTAAGAACTAACAGATCACTGCTATCATTCCACAGGGGTTTAAGTAGCTCATTCCCAAGAACTTGTGCTGTCAATCAAAAATCTTGCTACGGTCGGTGGCTTCAACCCATGGGAGTGGGTCAGGGCCATCAGACCATAAAACATAGGACAATCTGAGCTCTAGTTTTCCCAGGAATAAATCAGGGATTTGGGTGTATTTACTGTATTCAGAATTGCATTTAATTGCTCCAGAAGATATTCTGCCTCTTTACGCTCAAAGACAGAAACACCTACCCGCAGAACAGTGGTAATAAAGGAACGTCTGGCATAATCCATCTGCCTAGCAAACTTTCATCTAGGCCCTCATTCATTTTGATCCTTAGTCTACCTCTCTTCTTCCCCCTGCCTCCTCGTGCCCCTGGATTCCAGCCCTTTTCTGGATACCTGGGACCAGCCCTAGTCCTGTCCCTTTCCTCCCCAAAGATCAGGTGCTTGTGCTCTGTGCTCTTCTAGCCTTCTGTTCTTTTAGTCCTCCTCACATCTCTGTGTGATGGCTTGTCTGTCTCTCTCCCCTGCTGGAGAGAGTGGGGCCGTGCCTATGATTCCCTGTTAAGTTTCCAGCCCTAGCATAATTCCTAGCGCATAGTAATCCATCAACAAGCAATTACAGAATGAAGGAAGGATCGCCTCCTGGGAACCACTGCCCATGGTTCCCAAGTGCCTTCCCAGCACATAATTCTCAGGCTCTGGTGGGAGGCAGAAGGGAACTATCTGACTGTGGCTGAACTAAGAACAGAGGTCCTGGAAAGGTCAGTCTGTTTACTTCCAGAGCGTGGAAATAAGCCTTGAAGGAGTTTTCCCATGAGCCCTCCTCATTCCACACTGGCACAGCGGGCTTGCTGGAAGGAGTGCTAACTAATCTGGGATTACCAGAGACTCAGGAAAGGTGTGCTGTGAGCAGTTACCCACACCACTGGTTTCAAGTGCCCTGGCTTGGTTGTGGGGCACTGGGGCCTCACCAAGTTCGGCCTGTGGGGCACGAGGTAACTGGTGAGGATCTAAGAGGGAACTGCACAGGAGATTAGAAGATTCCAGAGGTGGTTCAGATTGAGCCCTCAGTGATGCCTTTCCAGGCTTACAGTGCCCTGAACGTTTCCTACTGGTTCATCAATAATGACCTGTAGGACATGTGTGGTAGCTAGCCCAGCTTGACCACTCAGATGGGCCTATCTGCAGTAGTTTCTGGAAGTGTCACCTCCATACCAGGTCGGGGAAATAAAAACAAAGCCAGTCACCCCAAGAGTGAGTTCCTAGGACACAATTTCACAGAACATTGAGATGCATACATACAATAGAAGCGCAGTTCTACAAAGAATGGCTCCCTTTGAAGTAAAAAGCATCTAGTGGTTTCTGGAATTTGTCAAGTACTAAAGGAATTTCATTTCCAACTTCTCGGTGCTGACTGTACCTCTGGTGTTCCCACGCAGTCTTGCCAGCTGCCCTCTTGTGCCCTTGGGCTCTCTTCCCCCAGATCAGACCCATCTGAGAGAAACGGTCCAGTGTTGGTGACCATCCTGTAGGCCCTCACGGCTCAGCTGCAGTTCTTAGAGGGGGCTGCGTTCATAGCAGGGGCCAGGTGTCTTTGTACTACTAAGGGCCTCAGGTGGTGGCAAATAGGATGGCATCATTTTATTTTAGTATTTTCAGTTCTTTTTTTTTTTGGCCATTCCAGGCAGCATGTGGGCTGTTAGTTCCCCAACCAGGGATCAAACCTGCTCCCACTGCACTGGAAGGGCGGTCTTAACCCCCTGGACTGCCAGGGAAGTCCCTTATTTTAGTTTTTTAAAATTAAGTTTATTCCAAAGGTCTGAACACGTGGCTCTGAAAAATAGCAGTCCCACAGTCAATTGTAAAACCTTTGCTGCCATGCAGCCGTTAACCAGCCTCTTTCAGCAGCCTCATCATATCCATTAGCTTGGCATCAACACCATTTTGGAGTTGACCTTGGAAGGGTCTCCCCTATGGGGCAACCCCCTGTATAACCATTACATTTTGTCCTCCTTGAAGGATGGCCTCATGTGTACGTCTTATATTTCCTTAGAGGGAAAAAGGGTGTGATTCAAAATTCCTCACCAAGTCTGCCAAATTTCTGTCAGCTTCAGGTCCAGAAGAAGTAAGAAATTAAAATGTAAACCTGTGCCCAGAACAAGGGCTGGCCCAGAAAGCACCAGGCCTCCTGCTTCAGGTGTCAGCTCCAGGCCAGCCGGAATCCTATTCAGACTGTTACCTATCACAGCTCGCTCTGCCTCAGGCCGTGACCGTGTCCTGCTCTGGTAGGCCACCTGGCTCAAATCACCTCTTTGTCTCCTGGTTGGGCCTCCCCTCCACGGTAGGCACAATTGTAACTCTCCTTCTTGCTAAAGAGATCCACAAATTCCCAGGTGAGGTAAATTTTAGACTGTGTTATTATGTGCACAGTAATAACACAATGCACAATAATAACCACAATGTTATTCCTCATGCTGGCAGCCCACCTCAAAGCTGAGAAAATGCAAATGAACCCCTTCTCCATTTATCTCCCACAGTATGTATGACGTGGTAGCTTATAGAACCACGGAGGAGTATCAAGATATGTGGCTATCCTATGCAGACGTGTTACGATAATGCCGTCTCTGCAAAGAACTGTACCACCCCAAACATCTCATAGTAATTAGGGAATTCACTCAGAATAATTTCCTATATCCATTCCTTGGTTCACACTGTAGTGGCCAATCGTTGTACTTAGTGCAGCTCAGGCTGCCCCGAGACAAACTGCCAACAGTCAAAGGTCGTGATGAAGCCATCTCTAACAGATAGCATCCAGTTCTCCTTAAATACTTCTAGCCCCACTCCCTCCAACCTGCTCTCCCAGATATTCCCAGAATATCAAGTATGAGCAGGGAAGGTGACAATACCTAATCTATGAAGATGTATAGGACTCTTAGAATTTGAAATGTGGGATACAGAGTATCTCAGAATTAGAGGAATTTTACTGCTGCTATCCCGTGAAGTCCAAAGCCCACCCTGATTAAAGAGGAATTCCCATCTCTGGGTTTGTTCCGCAGCTGCGTTTTACTCTTGGACCACTTCGTTTCGGTTTCTAGCTTTTACTCCTGGGCGTACACCTGTTAGGGCAGCTGCTCACCCTGAGTCAGATCCGTTGAGGGCCCCCAGCTCTCAATCTCTCATTCTCACTAGTGTCTGCTCCAGGCCCCCAGCCCTCTTGGCCTCACCCTTTTTACAACCCATCCAGCAGTACATTTATATGACACCTTCTACCACTTTGCTACTCCTAGTGTGGCCTGCAGACCAGCAGCAATGGCATCAGCTGGGAGCGTGTTACAAATGCAGAATCTTGGGGTGTCCTAGTCCTACTGAATTAGGATTTGCATTCCAACAAAACCCCCAGGCGATTCACATGCACATTCGTTTGAGAAGCGCTGTCCTAGGGTGATGCTTCTCAAATTTGTCTGCACATCAGAATCTCTAGGAAAGTTTTAAGAAATACAGATGCCGGGGTTCCACCCTGAGCGTTTCTAATTGAATGGGTCTGGAGTATGGCCAAGGCATCAGATTTTTAAAGCTCCCCTGGTGATCCCATTTTATTTTTTAATTTTATTGAAGCATAGTTGATCTACGATGTTGTGTTCGTCCCCTGGTGATTCTAATGTTCAATGCAAGGCAGGATTCTAACTACAGTGGACACTTATTATTAAGTTCTCTCTTAAGACTGCAACTCATAAGCTCAGGAAGCAGAAATCAGTTCAGTTAAACCAAGAACCTACTCTGTCCGAGGTTTTCTACTGTTGATCCAGTTTATGACAAGTGAGGGGCATCTGGGATGCTCCAGTGTTTACCTTAATCCCAGCACTCCGACACTTGCCCACGGCATCAGGCACTGCAGCTCAGGGAGGGTCAATCATGGAGATGAGCCTCACAAAACAAAGGTTATCCATGGGAAAATTGATTTCATTGGTGTTAAACTTGAATCCCTTGGAGTAAGTGTTCGGCAGACTCAAGAAGCAGAACCCTAGAGAGAGACAGAAGAAAGGACCAGTAGTCATTCCACTGTCTATGTCTCTATCCTGCTCGCCCCAACCTCCTAGATTTTTCACCCCACGAATAATGACTGTTTTGATGCCACTCTTCAGAGGCTTCTCCCACAGCCCCCTCACCTAGCACGTGTTCCCCCAGACCTCCCAGTTCCAAGTAGGCATTCTGGAAGGCTTCCTTCATTTCATCATCCATTGGGTACTCCTGCCCTTTCAGAAGGTAAGTAGAGCAAAACTCCAAGATCCTCTCAGGCGCCCCCTTCATCATCAGTACGTGGGTCTGGGAGCCGTCCTCCCGAAGGTGGATGGACATCTAGGGAGAGGAGAGGAACAGGAGGAGAGAGCGAGGTTTGGGGCAAAAAAGCAAGGGTAAGGTTTTTGAGGGTAAAGCCGACAGGCAAGCTGTTCATACCCCCATTTCCTTTGTCCCCTAAACCAGCGCAGCCCCCCTCCCTCCAGCCAAATCCGACCTTTGGTTGAGCCCACCCCTCCTCCCTTGCAGGAACCCCCAGCCTGGTATTATTTGCACAGGAATCTGTTATCGTCTCAGCCAGACTGGATGTGAAGGGCAGCCCAGGCACTCTCCCCTCCCTGCTTCCTCTCTGCCTGGGTGGCTAGAAGCAGAAGTCGTGGGGCCACAGAGACAGCAGAGTAGACAGGAAAGAAAACTTAGAGTCAAGCACCTGTGCTCTAGGGCCAGCAGGAATGCTTACTTAGCTTCATGACCTCAGGTCAGTCCACTTAACCTCTCCAAACCTTAGCTCCTTTGATAAAATGTAAAAGGTTCTGCGTTGCCCACTTCATTGGGTTTTTATAAAAGAAAGATAATATTTGTAAAGAATATATTGAAAAACACTGACAGTTCTTTACCATGGTTGTTTGAGCCTGAAGGACGGGATTAGGACGAAGAGTAATAACAACACTTATTGAGCACTTACTATGTGCCAGCCACTGTTCCAAGTGCTTTACATGAATTGTCATTTAATCCTCTCAGCTACTACCCCGTAGTAGTACTATCAATTTCTTTATTTTATAGATGACAAAACTAAGGTTAAGCTGTGTCCAGAATCACACAGCTAGGAAGTAGAGGCTGTCAAGGAAAGAACCCAAATAGACTCACTTTAGAACATGCTCTCTTAACCAACCTATGCTCTAAGTTCTTTGTTAACTCTGTCATCACACATTTAGTGATGAACTCTACTTAAAATTTATGATTGTTGCTTTGTTTTTATTAATACTGTCTTTTATTTTTTCCCAAAAGAATAAAGTTATCTATTCACTTTGAGTTACCAAACTCTTTAAGCATTCTGACTTGTTTAGTTTGGCACTGAATCGTGGTTGCTTCTTATGTTTTTATGTTCATTTTGGGGACTGATGAATAAACTGTTTTCCAAGTGTTGCCAGTAGAATTTGTATAATCACATCTTTAATAATTTTGTTTATATGTGTAATGTACTGTTATTTTGTGTTTATGATTTTTTTTTTTTACCAATAAACAGAACACGTTTCAAAGAAGAAAAAAAAGAGTATATCGAAAACTGTGAAGCACAATGCAAAAACTGGTTAGCCATTCTAGCCCCATGTCTCCTGGAAACATGGCACGGCCCCTGAGAGGGGCTCGATGGTGCGAGTTGGGGGTCCCTGTGGCTCAGCTGGGGACGGGAGGGCGTAGTCAAGAAGGCAACCTGAGGAGACAACTTGAGGACAGAGAAATAAGATCAGTTTCATTTTTCATTTTCCTGTGATCTCTGATCTGGGAAAAGGAACTGTCTCTGGGTTTCCTCTTATGATCGACAGGAAATTCCTGCTACGTAGCCTGTTGGGTAACAAAATCAGCACATTGAGAGGAATTGAGCTTGTGGTACCGAGGGGACCAGACTGTACTGACCCAAGGAGAAGCCGGGTGGGAAACCTGGGTGTAAAATGTGGTTAAAACGGCTTCTTTGGAAACTTTCCCAAAACTGTTATATTCAAAATATGCTTAAGCAGTTAAGAGGGGAAACCTAAACTCATGTAAGCAGAAAGCTGTAAAAAAAATTTTAAAAAGTTTTCTGAGCGCTTAAAACCTATTTGTTGACTATTTATTGGAGATGATCAGAGACGGCAGCAAGACCTGCTTAAGCCAGTAACTTGAGCACAGAAGCATCACATCTTGATAGACAATTACAGGTGAAAAAGACGGCAGCAAATCTGGAAATATCAGAACAGAGACACTTCTTCCTTTCATTTTGATCTCAGAGATGGAAAGAGACCAGGCCTTGCAAACGACCGCCAGGCTAAGATGTCCCTTGCAGGCCAGAGCCTCTGACTGTCCCAAGAACAAGCTGATTAAGGCAGGTCGTTCTTGGGTACGGAGCAAAAGGAGCCAGAGGGGTTTCCTTGGACCCCCCAAAGCAAGCCCCTCCAGAGCTGGGTAGCTTGCAGGCTGGCCGAGCACACTTGGTGCAGAGAAGGATTTTGCTGTTTGAACTTGATATTCGGTAGCTCAGAAAAGGCACTAACGTTGTCATTTGGGGGAAAGGTTGCTATTTTGTTGGATGTCCCATCAAATGTCATGGGTATGTTTTACTTTTATTTTGAATCTTGTGGAAGGAGAGGTACCTAATTCTTTTCAGTCGAAGGCTTTAATTGGGCCCTGCCGAGCACAAAATTCCTGTCTGGTTAGTGAGGTCACTAAACGTCAGGAAAAAGTGGAAATAAGTTTGCAGTTTGGGCCTAGGGGACCTATCTTATTACACTGATGAAAAGTCAGATGAGACAAAAAACTATGAATCTGTTTCTTTAACTTTTACTCGTTCAGCATTCAGGGTGAAAATACAGGTAATTTGGTTTAAAAAGATCTATATAGCTTTTGTTATGGCTTTTTTTTTTTTTTTTTGGTACGGGGGCATCTCACTGTTGTGGCCTCTCCCATTGAGGAGCACAGGCTCCAGACGCGCAGGCTCAGCGGCCATGGCTCACGGGCCCAGCCGCTCCGCGGCATGTGGGATCTTCCCGGACCGGGCCACGAACCTGTGTCCCCTGCATCGGCAGGCGGATTCTCAACCACTGCGCCACCAGGGAAGCCCTGTTATGGCTTTTTTTCTTAGTTACAAAAATTGTTTTTTCTTGTGACAAAAACTTTTAAGATCTATTCTCTAAAGCAACTGTCAAATATAAAAGTATGGACCGCCTTACGAATTTGCCTGTCATGCGGGGGCAATGCTGATCTTCTCTGTATCGTTCTAGTCTTAGTGTATGTGCTGCTGAAGTGAGTACTATTATGTGTTTTTTAAGATACAAAACCAAAACTGACTTTTGGGAGTTGAATTTCTTCTCTGTTACCCACACCTGATGTCTGACCTTTAGGGTAGTACATGAATTTGGAGAATTCCACTACCCTAAGTAAATCACGATTGTCCCATACGAGTCAAAGCTTAGCTGCTAGAGCCCCCATCGTGGTGATGCCACCGTTCCCTCCTTTCCACACTTTCCTCAAAGTGTGCCAGGGTCCTCACGTGGGAGGGAAGTTCTGGGTTTCTTGTCCCTCACGTGGATTTTACTGTTAGGGCCACCACTGTCCCTCCCTCAGCATTTCTCCTTCCTTTCGGCCCTCCTTCCCTTGTCAGTCCTCCCTGGATCAGGGACAAAACAGCCCAGGGAAAACAGCTTCGCAAACACTCTGGAAAGCCCTGACCGCCTACCTGATGGCAGCTGCTAGAACTGCAGGCATGGAATGAAAAGAAATATTTGATGACTAGTGAGATAAGATGCCTCAGGGAAGTGACTGGCAAATCCAACATATTCTGCAGCAGCAAATTTCACAGTTGCCACAGAGACGCCTTTAACGTGACTTTCCCCAGCTGGCCTTTAACGTGACTTTCTCCAGCCAGCCTTTGCTGCCTATGGACATTTCAGCACTTTATCACCTGCTCTCTGCACAAGCGGCGTAGCCTCAAGTCTGCTTATGACTGAATGCCTCTTCCTTTATCATCTATGCCTGCATTTACCTGTTTGCCACTTTCCCTTAAGGTGACCCTTCCTCCTACCTGGGGTGCTGAGCATCCACCGTATCTGTTCTACAGCTCAGACATAAAGGTAAAGGCAAAGCTCCCGTTTCCCCAGATGACAAGCCCATCCCCCACTGCTATCTTCCTACCTTTGTCGGTTCTGTACCTGGTACTTGTTGGTAGAATTAAAGGGAATTTCTGCCACCTTGGGGCTTTTCTCTCTCATCTCCTTCACAGAGCTGTAAGACTGCTCGGTGAACTCGAGGAGGGCTGACTCAGAAGCATCCCCTGCTGTTGCCCGCTACCGGGATGGGGTTGGTATAATGAGCCCGAGAGGCAAGGCACCTGGGCTTGCCAGTGGTGTCAAGGAGAGGAACAGAATGGGGAGGGGTGCTGGGGGCATCACCGAGGGCCAGAAAAGAGATATTGAGGGGAGAGGGCAGGTTATACCCTGGACACTGAGGTACACTTTACTCCCTTGGGCCTGACACCTTAGCTATGGGAAGGTACTCCTGATTAGCCTTAAAATCAGCCCAGTTACAGAGGCCAGCGACTCGGGCCAGGATAAACCAGGTATCAGAGCCCTTGGCAAACGGTTTCCCTAGGGAGAGAGAACAGAACTGTCAGCAGGGATAGGAGAGCTTAAAGCAGGAGTTTATTCACACCCCTGCTGCGCCCAGATGCTTCTCAGAGACAACATTTCACCTCCTCCACACCTCCCTGCTCTCCTCTCACTTTGCAGCTACCTTCTTGCTGTCTGGGCTCGCCACGCCCTGTCAGCTACTCATCACGTTCCCCACATCCTTCCACTCTCCGACCGCCAACGCCACTAGTCACCAGTCTGTTCTTTGCTGGTGTCAGCCTCATAGATGGTCCTGTCGAACCACAGGTGGGCGACGGTCCTGCGGTTCTGGGTGAGGGTGCCCGTCTTGTCGGAGCAGATGGTGGAGGTGGAGCCCAGCGTCTCCACCGCCTCCAGGTTCTCCACCAGGCAGTTCTTCGGAGCCATGTGCTTGGCTGTCAGGGTCAGACACACTTAAGGCCGTGAACAGGGGAGGGGGGAAACGGAGAGGAGAGCTCAGCTGCTCACAGTGCTTTGTGTTTTTGGAAATCTGATCGTTTTCACTACTCTTTTAATTTTTTATATTTATTTCCCTTTTGTTACCACCTAGTCTTTAGAAACCCCATCTGTGGCTATGGGAAAGGAAATGAGGAAAGTGATTTCGGTTTGTACTTTACGGCAGAGTTTCAAAAGAAGAGTGCTTTCTTTTACCAGGGTATCATAGAGAATGATCTCCTATTCCTCCCGGAATATTCCTCTCCCCGTCGATCCTTTCATCTTTTCTATTCTGCAGCCTCTTCTCCATTCAAGTTCAAGCCACACTTCTTTCTCAAGTCCAGTCTTTCCAGGGACCACGGTGAGAGCTAACCTTTGATTGTGGCATAAGATGCTCTGTGTGGAGGAGGGTTGTACCAGTAGTTTAAAAAAGGAGTGGGGAGGACAGAACGATGAAACTGAGAAGGGCTGTTGCAGCGCTGAAAATGACTTGAGAAGCCACTTAAATCAAAAGATTTTTTTTTTTTTTAACTTTTTTTTTTTTTTTAAGCTTATCAGGGGAGGAATCCTTTTTTTTTTTTTTTATTTTAGGGGTAGGAGTTTATTAATTTATTTATTTTTGTTGTGTTGGGTCTTCGTTTCTGTGCGAGGGCTTTCTCTAGTTGCGGCAAGCGGGTGCCACTCTTCATCGCGGGGCGCGGGCCTCTCACTATCGCAGCCTCTCTTTTTGCGGAGCACAGGCTCCAGACGCGCAGGCTCAGTAGCTGTGGCTCACGGGCCTAGCCGCTCCGCGGCATGTGGGATCCTTCCCAGACCAGGGCTCGAACCCATGTTCCCTGCACTAGCAGGCAGATTCTCAACCACTGCGCCACCAGGGAAGCCCAAACCAAAAGATTTTTGTTGACCATAAATCCAGTGAAAGTCAGGTGTGGGGCAAGGTTATTTTAAAAACGAATGAATTCTTAGGCTGGGGTTATGTACAGAATTCTAATCATGGATTTACTATTTATTTACACAATATCATGAGTACTGGTGTTTTAGTGCTAGTCTAACCACACCCTGGGTATTATTCTCATTTCCATTTTAAGAAGGGTATTGATAAAGGAGAGCATACCCCAAACAGGTGATCAGCAAGACAAGGGGTCTGAAGATGTGTCACAGGAAGAAGGGCTAAGGGAAAAGGGATTATACGACCTCTCCCCCGGAGAGTTTGAGGGGACATAATGGCTACTGTCAAAGATCTAAAGGGTTGGGCTTCCCTGGTGGCGCAGTGGTTGAGAGTCCGCCTGCCGATGCAGGGGACACGGGTTCGTGCCCCGGTCTGGGAAGATCCCACTTGCCACAGAGCAGCTGGGCCTGTGAGCCATGGCCGCTGGGCCTGCGCGTCCGGAGCCTGTGCTCCGCAACCGCAAAAAAAAAAAAAAAAAAAGATCTAAAGGGTAGGTTTGTAGAAGAGAGAGAATTGACTTATTTTGTATTTCTTCAGATGGGAAAACTGGGACCAAACAGGGAACCGTATGTCTGCTCAACATAATGAAATCTAACTAGAGCAAAATCCAACAACGAAGTGAGGTCAGATAAAAAGGGGTGGGCTTCCCATGACTAGAAATCATCATCATCTCCTACAGATTTTATGCAGCGTATTTGGCATTGGTTGAAAGGTTGAATTTATATGGGCTTTGAAGTCCTTTCCAGTAAGATTCTATAATCCTAAATTAATCTTCTTCTATGAACTGATGAATAAATTGAGGCCCGGAGTGCAGTGAGTTGGCCAGATTCACCAGCCAGTACACCCAGGACTGGAACGCACTCCCGGTGATTGATAATCTATGCTTTCTGCGTCGTAACTCATTTCTTTTCTCATTAAAGAGAGAAGGCACCAGAAAATAGGGGTGAAGGAAGTCAGTATAATTTGGGAGCTCAATGATTTGACATCTGTATACGCATTAGAGTACTCTGCACTGGAGAGGTTCAGCCACGAAAGAGATACTAGTGATTTCATTTCCTTGGGGTTGTTTGTCTGCCCTGGGGCCACACTCCACCTTAGCTACTCTCAGTGACGGTGACCAGCAGCCCCTCAGGCACGTTGGCCACAATGATGCCAATAAGAAGAATAACAGCCTCCAGCCAGGTGTAGCCCAAGATAAGTGAGAGCCCAAAGAAGGTGACACCGAGGAAGACGGCCACTGCTGTGATCACATGGATGAAGTGTTTGATCTCCACAGCAATGGGGGTCTGGCCCACTGCCAGGCCGGAGGTCAGCGAGGCAATTCGGCCCATCACCGTGGAGTCTCCTGTGGCAATCACGATGCCCCGGGCTGTCCCTGTGGATGAAGGGGGAAGTCTGAATTGGAAAGGCTGTTGGGTTTGGTTCCTACAAAGAGAAAACTGTCAACAGTCAAAAACAAGGTGGAAACTCAAGGTCCTCTGAGAGGTTATAATGTTCTACTGTCTTTACAGTTCGCTTATGCAAGTGAAGGTCTCCTCATCGGAAAAATCTCTGAAGAGGTTTCACAGTTCTCCAGAGATACCCAATTTTATTGCCTAATTGCCTTCACTGTCAGGAAGGTCTTTGTTACACTTAGTCTAAATCTCTTCCATTGCCTATATGTTTCTTATTCTGTCCTCAGCAGCTGAAGAGCTTCTCGAGCCCCAGGAATAGTGGTTACCCTTCTGCTAGAATCCTGTGCTCCAATATCTCCCCATCCTCTAACCCAGGGCTACTCAATTTGCCGCCCCCATCCCCAGGAGACATTTGGCAAGGTCTGGAGGCATATTTGGTTGTCACGACTGAGGTTGCTACTGGCACCTAGTGGGCAGAGAGCAGGGATGCTGCCAGGCATCCTGCAACTCACAGGACAGCCCTCCTCTCCCTCTACCACGAAGAACAGCGCGGCACAATTGTCAGCAGTGTCGAGGTTGAGAAACTCTGCTCTGACCGAGCCTCTTCCCTGTTTTGCTGGCTGGAGCCAGTCTGCCCCCTGCTGGGTGGCATAGGCCATAACATGGCTCCTGAATCAGATGGGGAACTTGACATACCCAGGATGTAGCTTGAAATGAGGGGCCCCACAAGGCTCTTTGCTCAAAATAATTCTTCCTGCTTTACCATGATGGCTGAAATTCCTACCATTAAAGTTACAGTCAGAATCACCCAGAAAAGCAACATATTATAGAAATAGCACTTATTTTCGAATCAGAAGGACTCAGGGCTAGAAGTTCAACTTCCGATGTACTAGCTGTTCACCCTGGGGCAAGTTACTTAAACTCTCTGAGACTCAGGTTTCCTCATCTTTAAAATGGGGTAAAAGCATCTACAAAGCTGTGAGAATTAAATGTTTTTAAAAGAGCCTAGAACAGGGTTGGGCACATAGTAGGCACTCAAATAGTTGTTTCTTTTTTTCCTCCATTTAGATGAATTTAAGGTCTCCAGAAGAATGGCTAGAAAATCACACATATGCCTTGCAGGGCAGCTCTAATCTGGCAGCTCCCACGAACATCATAGCATGGAGCGGCCAGTCCATTTTCAAGGTCACCTTCAGCATTATGAGTCTGAGAGCAGGTTCTGCTCCGACCGACAGCAGACGAGTGAGGTCACTGCTATGTGAAGAGTGGTTCTGGAACGCCTCACAGTATGAGGCACTCTGCAGATGAGCAGGAAGATACTAAAATAATTGAGAGGTGCTGAGAGGGTTTATTTTGACAGGGGGTAGAGGTGGTTAGGGTATGGTGTCACTTATAGTCATTTTGTGCCACGGTTTAATCTAGTTCTTAATTTTTCTTCCTTTTGCTGTGGTTTCCCCATGCTTGGAGAGACAGGATTTAATAACTCATCCCAATGTGTCTAGAGAGGGGGAAGGTTGATGTCAACCTTGGGGAAGGTTAAGAAGGCCAAGCCTCCCATATTCCAGGCTAGACTGACTTCTTCCTACGCCTTCTATACAATGCCAGAGAAATAGCTTACCATCTCCCCCCTACCCCCCATGAAGACGCATGAGAACCCAAAGAGAGATGTTTGTACCAGCAGCCCCGTCAAGGGCCACAGTGACGAAAGCAGAGAGGCAAGGGCCTAGGATAAAAGTTAAAGTGATGCTACCTGTTTGCAGATTGCACAGAGATTCCTCAGTTTAACAGTCAAGAGCTCCTTCAACCTAACTCCACCCTCTTGGTCACATCTTGGGTCCCTCTAGTCTCCTATTAAAGCCTTCTCTATTCTAGTCAGATCCCTGTTTCTTAGATGGAATTCCGTCATCCACTTTTCCTGTTATTTGAAGCATATAATTTGTTGATGAAAAGCCTACTTTGGAAGGGCAAATCTGAGCAAATTTCTTCCTAAAATTTAATAATAAGAATCTCATGTTTTTGGAGGAAGCTTGCTAACTTGCATCTTTCTGTTCAGTCAAGTGAAAAAAACTTTTTAATATATATTTTATTTTCTAGTTGGATTCTTCTTCAGTCTTAATGGTACTCTACTCCTTTAAGCTATTTCCAAATGAAATAATTTTATTACCAGAGGGGTCATTAGCAAGCTTTATTCCAGGGGAGGTTCTGTGGAAAGAGCATGGGCTTTGGAGACAGACCTACATTAGAATCCTCGATCCTCCTCTTTTTTTGTCGAGTTGTGCTCTTGGGTGCTGCATTTAATTTCTTTGAAGCTTGGTCTTTCACGTGTAAAATAGGAATAATATCTGTCGTATAGTCTTGTTAGAATCAGAGATTTCTGTGGCACTTGACACGTGCTAGGCATTCAATTAAAGAATAGCTATTTCTTAGACACCCAAACATTTATTCTTAAGCATAAATGATGGTTTTCATGTGTGTTCCAGAGAGTTTTGCAGGCCTTCTTAAGCAGAAAGGATGAAGGAGAGGTTGACATAATGATATTGAGCCCATTGGTACCACTTTGGCCAGAGCTGTCTCCCAGTTCAAGGATGCCCTAGATGCTAAGAACAAAGCCAAAGGTGTGAGTGGCACCTCTGGTAACTCAGATTTCCGATGCCAGTACCCTCTCTTGGGATAGTGAGAAGTTAGGGCTTACTTCAGGAGAAGAGTGACCTAGCAGAGCTGAATAATTTTCCTCCCTTCTATGCTATTTTCAGCTCATAGAGCATAGTCCATTCACTAGATAGAATAAAAATAGCTACAATTATAGGGCACTTAGAGTGTGTTAGGTCTTGCGCTGGGCATTTTATTATGTATTATCTCCTTTAACCCACATAAAAATCTATGGAGCAGTGACTTTTAGTATCATCAGTGTACAAATGTGGAAATGATGGCTTTGACCTTTCATCAAAGTTTGTATAGCTCATGAGGGATGAAGAACGTAGACTATTTACTGGCTGTTACCTTCCCTACTGCCCTTAGAAGATAGAGAGGTCTGGAAATCTTTGTTTCAATCTTTGCTTTTGAATCTAGGCTACTTATGATGCGATATTCACCTTCCACTCAGTTGGTGGAGAAGCAGCAGATATTTTGGGTCTCCAGAGGGTTCTCATTGGTGAAATCAGAGGAGCGGGATTGGGGCTCTGACTCTCCTGTCAAGGATGAGTTGTCCACCTGGGATGGGAGAGAGGACAGGTCATGGAAAAAAAGCACCAACATCATCATTATTGACATGCGGAGAGAAGCATAAACTTACACACCACTGTAACCTCAGATCTGCACTTGTGACTTCTCAAGGTTCTGAACAATGAGATCATATTTTTTTGAACTGAGTCCAGGTCACTGCAGTGCTCTAAGACCATACTTGGCCCCCTTCCATAGCGTTTCACATCCCCTCACCTTACATCCTTGTGAAGAGATAAGCCGGATGTCAGCAGGGATCCGGTCTCCCCGCTTCACTTCTACCAGGTCTCCTACCACCACGTCTTGTACAGGGATCTGAATCTTCTCTCCGCCTCGGATTACCAGAGCTTGCTGTGGGAAGATAGTGTAGGGTCATTTCCAAAGCTTTTTGCTCCCCTCATCCAGTTCCTGGTCCCTTTCCCTCTGATTCCCTTTTCTTACACTGTCACTCACCACATCATTCTCGAAGGTCTCTTGGGTAGATTGCAAATTCTTACCATCGCTGTCTGCAGGGCCCTTTGATGCTCCTCTCACTACACTATGAGGTCTATCTTTCCATTCCTACACTTAGGCTTGGCTGTATGGCTTGCTTTGTCCCATAGGACATTAGCAAATGTAGTGCAGGCAGGCACATAGAAAAGTGCTTGCACACTGGGGCTTGCCCTCTGCCACTATATTGAATGTGCTCAAGCTACCCTCCTGGAGGGAGGAAGATGATAAGGAGAGAGGCCCCAGCTGTCCGTGACATCCCAGCTGAGGCCCCAGACACTTGAATGAAGTCTTCCAAGGCCACCCAGCACCAGCCAAGGTCAGCCCAGATCAGAAGAGCAGCCCAGCCACAGAACTGTGAGAGATACTATGTTCATTGTTTTGAGCCACTGTGTTTCGGGGTGGCTCCTTTAGCAGGAAAAACTGAGAGTCTCCAAACTCCTTCTTCATTCTACCAAAACGTTTCCCACTGAACTCTTACCCAAGGAAGGAATTAAGTTATGTTGGCACCAAAGGGAGAAGATGATCCTGGGCTATAATGCTAGAACTTGATCGTGTCATTGGGAAACTTTGGAGCCTATTCCTTTCCAAGTTTTCAAGCCCTGTGCCTAGGAACCCCCTTCTACTGTCATATTATTTCCAGGTTCTTTAGAAAAGTTTTATTTGAAAATCATCTAAACTTTCAAAAGAGTTGCAAGAATAAAAATTGTACCAAGAACACCCATATAACCTGTACCCAGATTCATCTGTTAGCATTTTACCCCATTTGCTTTGTCATTTGTCCCCTGTCTCTATATATGTGTGTATGTAAATACTTTTTTTCCTGAACTATTTGAGGGCAAGTTACATACATCATGATCTTTTATTGTACATACTTCAATGTGCATTTCCCAAGAATTAGGATATTAAATAACCATAATACAGTTATCAAATTCAGTAAATTTCACATTGACACGATACTTTCACCTGCTGTCTGCATTCCAGTTTTGTCAATTGACCCAATATATCCTTTACAGCATTATTTCCTGCTCCAGCACAGGATTTGGTCTAGGGTCAGATATTACATTTAGTTGTCATGTCTCTTTAGCCTCCTTTGATCTGGATCACTTCCATCGCTGTTCTTTGTCTTTAAGGCCATCGACAGTTGAAGAACCCACACTCCCTTTGCCCCCACACCCCCTTTTTGGAATAGAACCCCCAAAGATTTAGCGTTTCAGATTGGATTCAGATCATGCATTCCAGACCAGACCACTTCATGGATGTTATTGTGTTTTTCTCAGGGTACTTTTAAGGCCTGATAGAGTAAAACCTAAGTGAATGTCACCCTCATTACCAGCCTCACTCAGTTCACTCACCGTAGGAAATAATTCTTCAGGGGACATACAAATCATGTATTTGGCTGCATTCTACACATCCTCCCACTATATCCTTCCACATGAATCCTACCTGAGGTACCATGCTCTTAAAAGATTCCATGATCTTGGAGCTCTTGGCCTCCTGACAATAGGAGAAGCAGCCGGTGATGATGACCACGACTGTTAGTACAATGCCGAGGTACAACTGGAGGTTGGGAAACAAAGCGTTCATCAGTAGGTCCTTTTCTTCCTCTTCATCCTCAGAAAGTCAGCTTGCAAGGGTAACAGCCATTTTTCCAGGTGGAAGAAACCATGGGACTCGGTGGGAGAGCACAGGGGCTGAGAAGAGTCTGAGACAGGCCCGGTTCTCTGGGCTTCCTTGTTAAGGAGCCTGGAGCTACAGTGAGGGGCCAGCAAAATCCGAGGCCCGAGAAAGCCTGTATCTTCCTCTCCAGGAAGGCTATTCATGGGGTCGAGTGTGGCTATTGAGGGAGATGGAGAGGAAGGATAGGAAGAGATTAAAATTCTATGAAAGAGAATGGACAGCAAAGTGCTTTGATGACCAGTTGGGAAGATAATCAAAGGACAGCAAGTTTCTGGGGGGAACGTTATATCTCAGGGAGCTGAATCAGGAGCCAAATCAGGATTTGGGTCAGAGGACTTCAGGAGTGCTAGGCTGCTGAGCAGAAGAGTATCGAGGGCTAAGCAGACACTGGGCTTGGCAGTAGTAGTTGAACAGACTCACATTATCTTTGGTAGGGTCCTCATGGAAATATAACTGGATGCCATAGGCCACGAAGCAGAGACTGGCACCAGTCCACAGTAGGAGGGAAAAGCCGCCAAACAGTTGTTTACAGAATTTAACCCATTCTGGAGTGGTAGGGGGTGGGCTAAGTGTATTGGGTCCATCTCGAGCCAGGATTTCCTGTGCCTCTTCAGGGCTATGGCCCTGTGTGGAAAAGAAATAGGAATGGATGGAGAACCATGAAAAGAAAAGCAACTATAACAAAGGAAAACCTGGCTTCAAAACTCAGGTCTGCCATTTATTGTGCTAGTTTAAGTCTAGAGACCAGTGAAGTTCTCTGAAGGTCATTCTGGAAGTTCTTCCTACATAAGTGGGACTCTAAAATTTGCATTATAGAAGGATCTCATTTAGCCTCCTTACATAGGAAGAATTTTTAGTTTATGGGTTGACTCACAAATCTTTGGAACACCTATCTTGGGCCTGGTACTGTGGTAGGGTACCAAAGCGAGTAAGAATGATCACTACCCTTATGGAGCACCAACTCTAATGAGATACATATAAACGATTTATAATATAGTGTGCCAGGCTAATGGGATAATGAGATACGATACATAATGTTGATAACATATGGACCTCCACACTTGGACTCTTTAACTTAGAAATAGGAAAAAAATACCAACAAAATCCAACATGAATGTGTAGATCCTCGCTCTAGCCTTGTGCATAAGCTTGTGTGCTTTTTCCTCTTAGTAAAAATGAGAGTAGAACCTACCAGAGGATAGTAAAAAAGAAACCCAAAACGCTCCTTAATTCCCATCAGCCACTCCCCAACCTCCCCCGGAAAAACATGCAATTTTAATAAAAACTGGACCAGTCTCCCATGTTCCTCCTTGGTTACCAGATGGCCATCCCAAGCCCCTCCAGTGAAGAAATTCTAGAGCTAAGAGGAACTTACAGTGTGAGGGCTTTTTTTTAAGTTTATTTGTGGTCATTGTATTAGTGGTTATAGTAGCAGCAGCAGCAGTAATAGTGATAATAGCAGTAGTAAATGATTTTGCTGTTGAACCAGCAGTTCTCAAAGTGTGGTCTGGGGACCCATGGGGTCCTGAGATCCTTTCAGGCGGGGTCCACAAGGTCAAACAATTTTCAAAATAATACTAAATTGTTTGTCTTTTTCACTCTCATTCTCTTAAGTATACTGTAGAATTTTCCCAAGACTACAGGGCACATGATAGCACAATAGCGTTAATTCTGAAAATATATGAGAATCTAGCTGTCTTCTATTAAAAAGCTAGACATTAAAGAGATTTGCAAAAATGTAAAATGCCACTAATATTTTTTTGTTTTGAAAAACAGTTATTTGTCATAAAAATATTATCTGTACTAATATATAATGGTTGTTTATAAATGAGTTAGGAAATACTTTTTAATTTTCTCAATTTTAATTTCTAATATGATAAATATAAGTAGATGTAATCCACATAAGCAAAAGCTCTTTGGGGTCCTTGTTGGGTCCTGAGGACAAAGGTTTGAGAAGTGCTGCCCTAACCCATCCTCATTCTCTCATCTAATCCTGAACTCTCTTTGGGTAGTTACCATTTCATCTTTTTCTGAGTGTGTGTCCTTGGCGGGGCGCAGGTTAAGGGTAAGAACATTGACCTTGAACTTAGGGGCTAGATTTCTAGCCCTGCTTTTGTCCTGGCAGCCTAAAGGTCGGGAATGGAGACCCTCTGCCTCCCTCAGGGAGTTCCTTCACTCACCTTGGTTAGGTCCACAGAATATTTGGTGCTCAGCTCATCCAAGGTTAATTTGTGATCATCCTGAGGGGACAGTAGAGTCAGTGAGGGACAGGGGGTGACGCATCATTTCTAGGGGAAACATTTTGGGGAAGAGAGGTGGCACTGGTTGAGGGACAGGGGGTGATGCATCATTTCTAGGGGAAACATTTTGGGGCAGAGAGGTGGCACCAGCCTGTGTGAACAGTTTTCAAGGTGAGATGTTAGAAGCCTGAGGGTTGAGAGAGGTTTTTGGAGGGCCATTTGTCAGCACCCATTTTGCGTGTTCTTACCATGACCATTTCCTTCTTCAGGTCCTCCATCTCTCTCTTTTTTGTCCTCTTTATCTTTCTTTTACTCATCTTAGGACCCTTAGGTCTTGGGCTTGGATTCTGCTCATGAGGTGTCACGGTCCCTTTTCTCCCTCCAAGCCGCATGGCTTTCCCTGGATATGGCTGCCCCAGATCAACTGGTGGGAAGAAAGCAAAGAGAGTGAGGATTGTGAGGGAATCAGGAGGAAGGAGGGGGAGAGGGGTGAGAGGAAGAATGGCTGAGCCCTGGGAGGACTGAAGGAGAGAGAGAGGGAGGGTGGTCCGGCGGCAGTGGTGAAGCCCTAAATGGGGGAGGAGGAGGTGTCAGGAAGGAGGGCACAGGAGGGATGAGAGGAGCCTGGGGCCTGAGGTACAGGAAGGAGAGGGGTGAGGAGAGGGAGTCGAGGAAATGAAGTGTGGAGAGTACTATGTGCCTAAGTGATGAAGATGCTGCAGGGCCCTGAGCAGGTGGGAAGTGCAGTGGGCTTCAGGGCACGCTGGGAGCTCCCCCCAGCACCGAGGCAACAACCAGGCCTGTTGTCACAAAGGCCTCAGGAAAGTTCTGAGAATCCACAAGTCTCAGTCTCTGGGTTTGAGAATGATTGGAGAAGTTTCTGCCACAGAGAAAACTGCAGTCTGATGGCAAGTCTAGAACAAAGTCCCAGTCTGGTCCTGCTGACCTCCGAGACTCAGAGGTACCCTAGATAGCTGACTCAAAAAATAGAGCAGGCAGTCTGTGTGTGTGTGTGCTTTTGCTGAGGTGCCCTTCCCACAGACATTAACTTTGAGCTTTTGGTTGTAGGACATCAGATAGCAGAATAGGTCAGATCTTGGACTTTTGAATCTGTCCTGGGTTTGGGTCCTGACTCCGCTGCTTACTGGCTGTGTGGCTTTGGGCAAGTTACCTAACCTCTCTGTGCCTCTCTTTCTTCATTGGTAAAGGGGGATACCATCTACATTGTAAGGTGGCAAAAGTAAGGATTAAAGCAGGGTGCTCCATGTAAAACACGATGTGTGACTTACATAGTATGTACTCAATATATAGCTTGAATTAAATATTATAAGTCTTACTTGCAGCTTAATGTGCAGCTCTTCTCAGTGAGAGTAAAAATACGCTTTTCATGCTATAACCCTGAATTTCCTCACTTTAGTATGACATATTTCTCTCTTCCATTCACCTTCTTTGACATCTCAGTAAGTGGTTTGACTGTATTAACTTTATATGTTTTACGTGTAAATTATACTCTCCCTCCTTCTGAAAAAGGATCTGAAGCAGCTGTATATTTCTATAATGTACATTTTTTTTTCAGTTATGCATGTCAACATACATTTTCCCTTTCTATTTTTGGGAATTTATTTAATTGCATTTTGGCTTGGCATGCTTTTAAAAAATATGACTGGATCAGAAAACATCCATCTTGGTGCTGATGTAACCCTCCTTCAGTATTCAGAAATAGAAATTTTCCTTTCCCAGCTGGGACAAATAATAGTCTGTTTCTTTAATAGATTGGATAAGATTTTTCTTCTCTATTAAAAGTGTACCAAATAAAAACGGAAAGTCCCACTTTCTCTCCCCCCAGACTCAGATTCCCCACCACTGATGTTACTGCTGTTGGCAGCGTGCTGGGTATCCTTCCAGTCTTTTTTCTACATTTATAACAATAGTATCTATAAGGAGGTAGAGTCTTACCTTTTACAGCATCATTCAGCTCCCCTTTCATTTATGTAAAGATTTGCTTTTTAATGGCCACAAGGCATGCCATATTCTGTATTGACGGCGGTCTGTTCAATTATTCTCACTACGGATGAATTTACAGGATATTTTCCATTTTTTTTTTTTTTTTAACCACTGAAAGCACTGCTGCAGCGGCATCCTTATATATAGTACCTTTCGGCCCTTGAGCTTCAATTTATGTAGAATCGATTCCTGTTGCTGAATCATAAGATACTCTTATTTAAAATCGTAAAATGTTCTACCAGATAGCTCTTCAGAAGAGCTCTTCTTATCCATATCCCAGCAACAAGATGCAAAAATGTTCACTCCCCACACCTTTGATTATATTGGATGACCTTGACCGTTTTCATTTTTCCTATTATAATTGGTGAAATTTGGTATCTTACAGTTTTAATTTGCATTTCTTTATTGTCTAGGTAGCATCTTTTCCTTATATTTATTGGCTTTCTGGGCTTCATTTTCCTTTTTCTGAATTGTTGGTCTTATCATTTGCCCAATTTTCCATTGTTTTCTTTTCCTTATTGATGTGTTTGAAGGGGTTCCAATGCCTTGTCACATACATTACAAATATCTTCTCCCAGCCTTTGTATTTAATGTAGATCATAAAATCCCTAAGAGCAAGGTTAGAATTAAAGTTAAAATTGTTAAGTTAATCTATGGATCATCTATGTGACAACAGCATTTAGCCCAGCCTTGAACATAGGAGATCCCTCAAGGCAACTTTATTGACATAAAATCAAGTGAAATTATTTTTGGAAACCCCATTCTGTTCCACAGTTCTTAGCTCAAAAGTCTACCTCTTCAGAGAGGCCTTCTCTAATTGCTAAATCCAAAATAGCCACTCTCACACGCAGCCCTCAATCCATCACTTGTGGGCTTCACTGCACTTTTTGCCCTCTGAAATTATCCTGCCCATTTATCTGTTGACTTCTTGTCTGTTTCTCCATGACAGCAGGGACCTTTTCAGGCTTATTCACGGCTTTGCACCCAGCCCTTAGAATAGCACAGAGTGGTTCATCCACAAATAGTTCCTAAAAATAAGTTGAATGATGAATTTTCAGGTTTTATCTTAATGTTATAAGGTTTGATACCCATCATTTTGATCTGCTATGTTTTAAAACCTATTAGGGTAAATATGCTAGCATCACAGTTATCTACTCATTTGCTTCATAATCACTTACAAAAAACTCTGATATTCTTGCCTGATCACACTTGCTGCAGAATGTCACAACCAACATGTCATGTTTTATAAAAATACAATGAGGCTTTTAATTGATACTGGATTGGCTCTTTATAGCAACTTATTTTTATCTTTATTACATTCTATGTTCCCAAACAGCAGTTAAGTTTAGCTCTCCATGTATTCTTTTTTTTTTTTTTTTTGCGGTACCTGGCGCACAGGCTCAGCCGCTCCCGGCATGTGGGATCTTCCCGGACCGGGGCACGAACCCGCGTCCCCTGCATCAGCAGTTGGACTCTCTACCACTGTGCCATCAGGGAAGCCCTCCATACATATATTTTTTAGTACTCTCATTGTGCTTTTTTTCCTAATATTTTAATTTTATTTATTTATTTAGCTGCGCCGGGTGTTAGTTGCAGCACTCGGGATCTTTTTTAGTTGTGGCATGCGGGATCTTTAGTTGCGGCACGTGGGATCTTCATTGCCTCGTGCGGGATCTACCTTGCGGCACATGGGATCTTTCATTGTGGCCTGCGGGATCTAGTTTCCTGACCAGGGATCGAACCCGGGCCCCCTGCATGGGGACTGCAGAGTCTTAACCACTGGACCACCAGGGACGTCCCTCATTGTGCTTTTAATCTTCTTTAATAAGTACCATATGTCACACACACACTAAATCTTGAGTATAATTTGTTCTGGTTCTGTTGTAAATAAGAGCTCTTTGTACTGTATTTTCTAATATTTAGGGATAAATTTGATTTTTAAAAAATCGATCTCTTGTACCCTGTAACTCTGAACTCATTACTTCTAGGACTTTTTGTTGTTGTTGCTGTTGCTTTGTTTTGGTTGACTTCCGTGGATTTTTTAGGTATTTAATCGTGTCCTGTACCAAAAGAATATGTTTTTATTTCTTCCAGTTTGTCTCTTTATTTAGACCATATAAATACAAACTTCTTATCCAAGATTTCAAATGTAGCTGCTATTGCTTTTGTTGTAGTTGTTGTTATTATTGTTTTCTAGACTTATGCATCCCTTCCTTGCTTCTCTGAACATGATTACAGTTTCCTATATGCTTTTTCCTCCAACATTTTAATCAGGAATAAATGTTAAATTTTGCTGATAACCTTCTAACATCTTTTGAAATGATTATTTAATCATTTTTCTAGTGAATATTCGTGGTTAGTTTTCTGTATAATATACCGTCCTTGAATTTCGCTATTTGGTAAAAAAGTTTTATATATATATATATATATATATATATATATATATAAATAAATGTGGTAAAAAAGTTTTATATATATATATATATATATATATATATATATATAAACAAATGTATATATAAGCAAATATATATATTTGTTTTTATATTATTAAATTCTATCAAAACTGTATTTGTCTCATTAAATAGGCTGGGCCATACAAAATTTTCTTCTACGTTGTAGTACAGTTGAAATAATATAAGAATGCTCTTTGAGGTATTTGGAAAAAATTCTCCACTGAATTCACTGGAGCTGAGGACGTCTTTGAAAGACTCATTTATTTTAAATGTCTTCCTTGAATATTGATCTAATCATTTTTTCTATTTCATCCTGCATTCTTAATATTATGAATATTTAGCTTGTCGCCTGTCTCTGATGAATCATTATATTTCCTATTCTGTAGGTAAAAAGGAAATGGCACTGAAAGCATGTCTGCCTGCGTCAGAGGTTGGCCTTAACCTCTAACACTATATCCCATAGTAAGATTCTCTCACCTTTTCAGTAAGATCCTCTAAGATGGTTGACTCTTAATCCCCTACCGCATCCTTAAGGTCATGCCCTCTCCCTTTCTCTGGTTCTAATCACTTGGGTCTGCCCACCCCCTACTGGTCAAATGTTCATTGCCCACAGATTCCTGGTTCCCCTTGCAGCCTCCCCAGTTCACTAAACCATTGTGCTAATCAGGCTGACTCCGTGCCCACAGGTTTACTGTCCCCACAGTTGCCGCTAAGTATGGCATGGTGGTGAAGAGGGCTGCCCTGTAGCCAGACTGGTCTTGGGTTTGAAACCTGATTATGATGCTTACCACCTTTGAAGCTGAATGCATACTTTTGCCTTTCCAAGCCCTAGTTTTCTCATCTGTAAATTAAAGATAACAATAATCTCCCTCTTACTGGATTAAGAGGATTCTTTTAGTCATCCAACCAATATTTATTAATTACCCAATACATGTCAGGCATCGTTTTAGGTGGTAAATAAAGGTGGTGAAGAGAAAAAAATCCCTGTGTACGTGGAACTTATTCTGGAGAAGGAGTCAGGCAAATAAAGTATAAGCAAAAAGCTATATGTATATATTTGTATACATATGAACTATATGTATATATTTTAATATATCATCTATATCTACCTATCTATCTAAATTTGCGGAAGTTAGTGTTTATGACTAGAAACAAAGAGAATGGTGAAAGAGGTGCCAGGAGTGCTATTTTATTTGGTGAGGTCTGTGAGGGCCTTGTTGAGGAGGTAATGTTTAAGGAGTGATCTGTGTAAAGCGAGGAAGCCAGGCATGTGAGTAACTAGAGAAACTAGGTCCCTCCTGATAGAGGGACCATCAAGAATAAAGGTCCTGAGGTGGGATTAAATGAGACTGTACAGCTAAAGGCCTGACGTAGTTATGGCACAGAGTGAGCCGCAGTTAATTCTCCTAAAACTCCTATCACAATCACCATCACCACCACTGCTAGACTTGTAATAAAGGGGCCAAGAACTGACTCCTGACTGGTATTCCAAGATCCTGGCACAGGGCTGTAAGTTTGGTGTCTTCCTTTCTCCAGTTATTAGGGAGAAACGCACACCACTCAGCCACCCCTCCATCCCCAGCATAGAAGCATTCCTCCTTACTGCCCATCACACCCTGTCTGTGAAGGTTTTAGATGTCTGCTACTTAGATGAATTTCAAGGATTGCATCTACTTTTCCCTCCATCCCCCGCTAAAGACAGCACCCAGAATAGTATAGATCGTTAATGGGTGTTGGCTATCGGGGCCCCCTCAGCCCACCATCTCCTTCCCCTACCTGCTCACATTGAGAGTGGCCTGATTTCGGTCTGGGACAGAAAAAAGCAGAAGTGGGCCTGAGGGTTTGGGCCCATAGATTCGTGGGCTCTTTCCTGTGCTAGAAAAACCTTTATGGTTTTGGGGGTGGGTTCACCTGTGAGGAAGGAAGGCCCCACTGTATTTTCGTCTAGGTTGTTTTGCAACCTAATTTCTTCCCCTCTCTCTTGCTCCACTGACATCGTCTGTTCTCAGATTGTTTCCCTCCTGTCCTTATCTCCTGCCCTCTCTTTATTGCTTCCTCTGCAAGCCAAATCTTGCCACAGCACACGTTTCAATACCACAGTTTGGGAGGGAGGCAAGTATTAAGGACAGAAATCTGAATTATGGAAGGGATTTCTTCTTTCATAAAGAAATGCAACTTTATTATTTTCACTTACATACGTAGTGCCTCAAACTAATGTCTTACAAAAGGTCACCAAGTAAAGGTCTTGTAGATGTTTCTTAACAAATACATAAGAACTGATGATAATTGGCCCATGCATTCACTATCTCTAAATGGATATTCCTAAATTGCCCCAAAAGTATTGTTTTAGGAGACTACATATGCCACCCTAGCAATATGGTCTATGCTCTTAATTTACTAAACAAATGCCATTTTATTGATTGTGCAAAGATAAACTTTTGTCCATGGTCAATAAATCTCAAATTAATCAGGCCCAAATTAATACGGTTTCGGTTTCCCATTTAGTTTTCCAAGCCCAAGGCAATGACTCATTATTTCAAGGTACCAAAGTTCCAGTGTAATGAAGTAATAGCCCTCGGGAGGTTGTTTACGGGCCTGAAGTTTGTCTTTTTTGCTTCCTTCCTTTCTGCCTTAGGTCTTCCATTTTCCTTAGGTGTCTCTCACACTTGCTTTGTTCATCTAGGATTCTCTCTACAGGACATTCCCTAAGCCTTCTAAGCCAGGCTTAGAGAATGGGCAGAGCTGCCTGCAGAGCAAAGTGGAGGTGGGGAGGGGGTTAGGGAGGGAAAAGCATCTTCCTGTAGGAACCTGAAACCAACTCATCTCAGGGGAAAATGGGCACAATGATCATCAGTGTGAAGGGCGTTGGTCTGGGAGGAACAGCCCTGCTGTCTAAGAAGGTCGAAGGCAGGTCTCCTAACGCTCTCTCTTGCTGTCCAGAGGTCCTAGCCACACCCATGACCTAAGCTAATTCTGCATGTCCCTGGAAGAGAGGACGTTTCTGGGAACTTCTCTACCCCAATTCCAGCTTATGGCCAGGGACCTTCTTTTCCAGGGCTGGCTTGGCAGTGCCTGGGAGTGACGCAGGTTCATCCGGATGGGCATGAAGGGGAAGCGGGGAGGGGCAGGGAATGAGCTGGCAGCTCCCCCTCTCAGCACCACATGGAACTTCTGAGGACTTAGCATTCTAAAGGGCGGGGTGTTACCAAGCACACGTGGTGGGGAGAACTGGAGCATCTGTGACACCTAGGCCTCGGGGACCAACAGACCACAAACCAAGGGTCAGTGGGGAACACCACGGGCACATGGGTGTGGAATCTCAGTGAAGCTCCTCAGATTGCCTCCTGGTCCTGCCTCTGCTGCTACTCTGGTGACATTGGAATTGGTTCTACTGGCAGGGTGCTCTAAAGCAGGGGTCCCCAACCCCCGGGCCTCTGACCGATACAGGTCCGCAGCCTGTTAGGAACTGGGCCACATAGCAGGAGGTGAGTGGTTGTGAGCGAGCAAAGCTTCATCCGCAGCCCCCCCCATCGCCCCCCCATCGCTGGCATTACCTCCTGAACCATTCCCCTGCACCACCCCTCCCCGTCCGTGGAAAAATCATCTTCCACGGAGCCAGCCCCTGGTGCCAAAAAGGTTGGGGACCGCTGCTCTGAAGGGCAGGTCACAGAGCTGGAGCCCAGAGATCCATGTCAGACATCCTGAACTGACATTCTCTCTCCTTTCCTGTCCCCCTGCTCTGCCATACCCCCCTCTCCCACCTGTCCGCCCAGCTTTCCTCTGGCACTTCCTAAATGGCTTTGACTGGGAGATGGGCCAGCTTCTCCAATCGGCTGGCTTCCCTTTCTGGCCTCAGGCCCTAGCACTCACCAGGAGGCACCATTTGTGATTTCCAGGTCTGAGGGGGAAGCAGGGGACAGAGTTGGGTGGAAGCAAATGAGGGGTGAAGGTGAGAAGTGGGGTGAGGTTGGAGAGATAAAGTGACACTTGTGATCTGAGACAGTTCCCCTCCTGGTCTAGACAGACCCCTGCCTTTCGGTGTTGATGTGTTCTAGTGGGAGGTGGGGGTGAAGGAACAGGCACTGGGGAGGGCTGGGGTACCCCTCAGGTCCTCAGGTGAGTTTGACAGCATGTGGAGTGCAGCAGAGCAGGACCTGGGGAGGGACCCCTGACACGTAGTGTCTGGACTGATTGCTCCTAGGCAGGCCCCTGGGGCAATCACCCCAAGCTGAATTACCCACTCCCCGCGACTCGGCCTGCTGAGTTGCCTCATTCTCTCACCCCAAGTCTTCTCCCCAGATGCCACCACACTGTTTTCCACCCCTCCCCAACGCCATCCCTGCAACACCTTCAGGGTCCCC